ACTATCCCGCTCTGCTGAGCACGCGAAGCTTTTTAGAGTCTAATTTAGTCTTTTCTTTCAAGTGACCACGAAACTTCACGTCACTCGATATGTCGACGTCGAATTTCGATACTAACTAAGGCAACCAGGGTAGTGCCTTGAAACTGACGAGGAACGACGAAGGGGTTCTTTTTAGCGGTAAACGCGCAAACTTGTGTCTTTTGGGGATTGACTACATTTTGTCGCACTTAGTCCGAGACTTTGTTCAACAAAATCTCGACTCAGACACAAGTCTGTTCTGGTACTCGGCGACGTTTTCCCGAGAAATAATGTCGCCCGTATAGCAATGAATGTTACCGGTTTGCAACATATCGTTAATATGCAGAAGAAACGGCGTTGGTGACAGCACGCAGCCTTGTGGAACGCCTTCGTTAATGGGCTTGTAATCGGAGCACGTACCATCTACTACGAAATTGATGGTCCGATCTGCAAGAAAACTGGTGATCCGGTTCCGGTTGTGAAACGGCCCAAACGACTTGGATAAAATCTCTTATTTAGATAGTTTTACTTTCCAAGCTTATTTAGAAAGGTTTTATCACTGAAAAATTATTTTTAATTATTCTAGCTTATAGTATTTTATTACGGTTCGTTTTTTGAATCTATATGTTATTTTTGGTTTATATCTTTTCCTTTTGGTCATTTAGAAAGAACGAACAAGGAAAGAGTGATAAAGCAAATTTATGTTACAGAAGTGAACGGCATAGTTGGGAACGGACGCCCTAGACGAAAATTTATTGACCAAGTTGGCGATATATTTAAGATGGGCCAGGTTAAGAGTACCCTTAATCAGTGAACATGTATGCCTAAGTATATGGATGTAGAAGAGACGAGAGAGGTGTCAGGATCGTGCCAAATGGAAGTCCGTAGTCTCTGCATACCCCTCTACGCATACTCCTATACTCGTAATCGTGAGTGTTTATGTATTTTTCTTTTTTCGAATTTATACCAGGTTAATAAAATTTCATTAAAACGCAGTAAAATACAAACATAAAACAATTTTAATTAACAACATGATGTATATTAAAAACAATTTACAACAGTCTCAAAAGTCAAGCCACTCACAACCAATCGAAATATTTTAAAGAAATAATTTTTTTAAATATGGTACATACGTATTACTTGCAATTAGAAGGTATATAAGAATAATAAAAATTTTTTAGTATATAAAACGTGTGAAATAGTGTAACACTGCTAAATTAAACGCAACTTTTCCTTACACTAATTAATTCTAGACTGCAAACATTTTCATTCGAACTAATTAAAATAATAAGATTGCTGCACAACAATTTGCACTTCATTTGATTTACATTTATTACGGTTAACTGTGTTTATATTACATTGTAGCATTCAAATATTTTAAATATACTTTAATTAAAATTCAACATTTCAGTAAATACTCTGCTTTAATAGAGCTGAATATTTAAAAGACTTTTGTATGTATTTGACATTTAAACGTCACGTATTACTAGAACTAAGGTAACAATATCCTTGTTAGATAATTTCTTGTATATTGCTTATAAAAGTACAACCACATAAATAACAACAGTCAGTCGTTTATTCCTCAATATTATAAATTCGATTTTCAGTTAAATAATTATATACAAAGCTTTAGTTTCTCAATATATACATAAAAATATTTAGTTCACAATAGTGCAAAGTAGTTTAGACAAATGTAACATAATTTTAATCAATGTTTTAGTTTCACAATGTTTCCTTATTTAAGTCTATATTATTTAATTTCCATCATAAGATGAAAACCAGAGATGTAAAGTATTTTAAATATGCATATTTAAAATGCAAATACAAAATACCTATTTTATTTTGCATTTGAAATCATAGAACACTATAATACATACACAATAGAACGGGGGAGCGGCCGGTGCCCGTGTAGCCACTACCATGTCAATTCACACCTATAAATGTCAGTACATCTTCCTTGACGTCACAGTCGTTGACCAATGTGTGTGTCAAGCGTTGCTGGGCGAAATTTATTTAAAAATATCGAATGATGTGATAATTACGTGTCCGAGAAACAGCCGGATGTGGAATTTGAATAAAAGTGGTATATCCTTTCACCAGTAAATTGAAACTATTTATATTTTGTGAATATTAGAAACAAAAATAAAGAAATATTAATGTGTAAAAACTACAGTACTAGGGATGTACCAACATTTTACTGATACCGGTAAACCGGGAAATATTATCCTTTTAAAATTGTATTTGGTATAATGATAAGCTAAATAGATGCAATCAAATATGGTGAAAAATAATAATTCAATTATCTACAATACTGTATTATTTATTACTATTGGTACTTTTATACCTACGAAACTTTGTTACATTCGCTCAATTTTTTTTCAGACTGACTTCTTATCCATCACAAAAGATATTAGAAAGACAATACAATTCCACGTAAAGAAATTGTATACATAGCACCCGTAAGGGTGATCCTGTGAAAAGGATTAATTCAACATCTGAGAATGTAATGGCTCGAAGAATGAGGCGACAGATGACAGCAGTAAAGATATGAGCTCGAAATAAATGGAATATCCAATAAGAAATCATATGTGAAATGTATACAGTGAAAATTCCATGTAAGCCTTAGGGTCGTTGTGAAGTTTTTAAAATTACTCTAAAGTCATGGAACTCATTATTTAATTTTTAGTTTAAATTTCATAAATTAAACTTTGATACAAATACATATCTGATGTCATAATTTGTTTTCGTATTAAAATTTTTGCAATTTGTATTAATGGTAGGCATGTTTAATTTTTTTTATGTCAAAGAGTCCAACTCATGAAGACTACGCTAAGAATGAAAGAAAAGTAGAAAAGAGAGCAGAATTTTCAAGAAAAAAATTAGTTTGAATCGCTAATGTGAACATTTACTTTTCAAACATAATACAAAAAAAATCATATCTCGTAAACTAAGAAAAATCGCGGAACATACATGGGGTATTTTCATGTAGCCCGAAACGTCAGCATTCCAAAAAAAATTTTTGGACGTCACCTTTTGGATCCACCCTGGTATATATAGCACCCACTTTCAATATCGACAATAACACACGCATATTTATTCATCCATTAGTGTGAAGGTGTAATGTGAAGATGATCCACTTTCGCCTACATATACACAGTCCACCTGATGGTCAGTGGATGCTGTGGCCCATAGACATCTACATTTATCCTCGATTAAGTATCAAAACTCAGATGCGTTGTCACCCCTGAGGACTAAGATGGAATGCCTCGTTTCCAGTAAAAAAGGGTCTCTGGTCCTCTACACTCACCATACGAAACACAGCAGTATTAAGCTGTTATTTTACCCTGTTATTTATATAAATATAATTTTGGATTTTTTAGTCGTAAAATTTACAAAGTATCGTAATCGAATATTTAGAGCATACGAAACACTTTTTTATTGCATTTAAATTACAAAATAATACTTTAGTATTTATCTTTTAGTAGAAGATTGTACGAAACTAATTGAGGTGATGTTGACTCTTAAAACATAAAATAGAGAATGTTATTGAAATATTTCAAATATATATGTTACCGGTAAATATCTAAACAAGATTACATCACTAGCTGTGATACCATTATATACTATAATTTGATTGCGCACAGAATAATATGATGCTGCTACGTATCTTAAACGTGTTCAAAAATATTTTATTTACAGTAAGAAAAGATATGTATTAAAATTTAAGCGCTTTCCTTTTTTTAATGATGATTGTGAACATCGATCAAAAGTCCAAAATGTGTAAATTCGCTCAGTATGTCAACAGTTATTCCTTATCTTTTTTTTCAGAAAGAGACGGTCTGTAAAGATTCGTTGAATCCGTTGTTACTGCCTGGAAATAAAGACTGATTTTATGTAATATTAAAAATGCGTTTGTAACATTTATTTATTAAAATTTGTATGACCAATAAGAGAATTGGATTTCTAGTAGAGATAATACGACGTAATCGCTTGTATGTGTGCTCCCGGCGACACCGGTTCTCGAGCAAAGAGCAAGGTTGACAGCCATTCTCTATTGTGTAATATAGTATTCTATATTTGAAATACTTTTTCAAAATCTATTTTCTATTTAATTTGAAATATTTTATAGCAATATTTAGTATTTATAACATTCAGAATGGTTTTGTTAAAAATTTTAATTTATATTTCATATCCCACTCACAAGATACTAACTACAATAAAAAGAAGGAAAATACTGAATTCTATTATATTATGTTTGTTGAGTATCCCTGATTCTTCAGCAGCCAGTGATAATGACAATACTACAACAAACCTGGAAACACTACGGTACTTAAAAGAGAAGACAATAGTTATCCAAATATTAAAAAAAACTTTTCCTTAAAAATAATACTTGTTTAGCAAGTTCTGCACCTGTTGAACTACTATTTTCGTTTAGTGAGATGATTATGAGGGCACATAAACGAAATATGAAAGATAAACTCTTTGTACAAATAGTAGTGATAGAATTAGTGAAATAAACTAAAGTATTCTATTTGAAAAACCTATTGTGAAAATAAGTATTTTGCATTTTGCATTTAAATACTTTCATTGAAAACTATTTTGTATTTTATTCGAAATAAAAAAGACAGCATTTACATTTTGAATTTAATAACATCTGGACCCACGGTAGAATATAATTTTTGCATTAACAACAAGGGCATTGTTAAAATAATTGACTTTATTTTATGTTTATGTTTGTGTGCAGTCTTCAGTAATTTGCTAATAAAATATTATTTATTATTTATTTTCCTTTAATTTTCTTTTTCAAAAGTAATAAAAATAGTTTTTTTTTCTTGCCGCTTCTACTCAGATATTGACAAATCTTACTTGATTTTTAAAAAGTGCTTATTAAAGTTCAATTTGGAATGAAAAGATGCGATAGTGACTTAAATTTTGCGTGTTTTAAGTGTGCGGTGAAAGGTAAAGGGTGAGCGTTGAGATCGCTATTGCTTGCCGTGCAGTAGGTCCCACAGGGGCAGCTCCGCTAGCGCGGTGTGCAGCTCGTGCGTGAGCTGTGCGAGCAGCGCGGGCGCCGCGTGCGCCGCGGCCGCGCCGCGCGCCCACGAGCTCACCAGCGCGCACGCGCCGCTCAGCGGACCCAGACCCGTTACGTGCAGATCCATCGATCTGCCGAAAAATGTCGCTTACTGCTTTAAATAGCCGATTGACACATCGACAAGTACAATAGCGAGTTTAGTTACAGGGCAGTTGACAGTAAACGGTTAAGTGGAAAGTAGTGTTCAAATATCTTCGTGGCAAGTTTAGTTAAAAAAAGTACAATTTTATATGTTGAGGGTCGAATGCAACACGTTGCGTCCTGTCAACTTATGCACTCAACTAAACTCGCTCGTTCACACGGGCGGTGAGTTTAGTTGCAAGGTAAGGCAACACTTAACTCGCCGAAAAATAGACCGGCCGGCTATCCCGTTCAACTTAATTGTTAACTCGCTACTTGACTCGCTAATTGACGTTCAAACGAGATTTTCTACTTAACTCGTAAAGTTCGCAAGTTAACTAGCTACTATACTTGTCGAAGTGTATAGTCTAAACGGAGAGTAAAAAGCTGCAGGTAACGATACAATAACCCCATTATGATCATGTTCCGTTACCGTTACAGCCTATTATAGTCCAATGCTAAACATAAGCCTATCCTATAGATTATTTCAAAGGGATATTTGTATGGACTAAGGTGAATCAAAGAATGCGTTTTTTTTTTTTTTTTTTTTTTTTTTTTTATCTTTTTTTTTTTTGGATTTTTTTCTTTTTTTTTTTTCTTGTTTAATTATTTTATACTTTTTTTTTGGGAACGAAGGAATATTTGAGGCGGCGGAATACTGCTAAATATCGCAAAGATCCTTTCTTACAAATGGTGGCAGCCATAAATTATGTTTATAAATCAAAGTACATAATTATAAAAGTTAGTATTTGGTGTTATATTGAGTGCAATAGCGAGCGAAGCGAGCCTGGGACGTCGCCAAACGGGGCTCCGTCGACCGGGCTTCCCTCGATTACACCACGTTAAGTAGCGTGGGGCTTCTGTCCCCCAACTCTCTCTCCCCATAAATCAGGTTAAAATTGTCATAAAAATTATGAAACATAACCTCAAAATGAGGTTTTTTAAAAATTTATAAAAAAAAACTAAGCACTTCCGGTAGGAAGGGGAGATAGGGGGTGACTCTACAACTCCTCCCCCTCCCGCACACCACCCCCACCACGTAATTCAGGCGACTTAATTGTAAACCTTACCCTGCCTTTTTGCCATTTAAAAACGGTTTAAACTCTAAACAGTGAAATCAGAAGCCACAAAACCTATATTGCCTTTTCTACCGTTACCGTTCCGGTTATCGTTACAACCTAAAACTGCTGCTGAACATAGGCCTCCTCCACAGATTGCCTCATACGAGAGGTATTCACCATAATTGCCACGCTTGACAAATGTATTATTTTTATTTAAGTTATTATTAGGAAGACGCTGCTGCCCTTCTCCTGATTTGTTTCCCTTTTATCGCCTTTTACGACGCCCACGAGATGATATGGGCTAGTGGATATTCTGACACCGCCACAACACGGTCATGAAGTTCACCACCAAGGACTTATTAGTAGAATCAAGGAATCGAGATAAATGCATCCTTAATTATCTAGTTTTATCCGTGTTGCGGACACAAGCGGGGCGGTAATAAAATTAAAAAAGAATTTAATCAAATATCTAAATCCTAATATTACATTTTTAAATATTTTTTACATAAAAATCTCGCTTTTTATCAATGGAGACTTGATAAAAAGTGAGATTAATCGCTGAAGACAGGAAAATTTTTTGTTAAAATCGGACAATTACTTACAAAGGAGATAGCAATAAAAAATTTCATCGGAGTCAGGTATAAGAGAGCTATGCTACACTCAGCCCCAAAGATATTTATATGGAGCATCATTTATACTTGTAAGACATGAATTTTATAGCACATTTACATTTTTATCGCAAAACTTTATAAATGGACAACAGTAACAATCGATACGAGAAGACAAAAATAGTGTCTGGTGGCGAAGTTAACACACTTAAGGTGGATGCGTCGACCGTCCGCCCATACATTTTTTAACCAAAATATACACTAAACACAGACACTCTTTCTTTAAAACTAATCATTTTATCACTTCTCTACAATGAAATGTGTACGCGTTTGACCTTTATAGGTAATAACTTATATTATATACTGAGAAAAACAATAGTGAAATCCCGGAAAAATTTGACACTTCTTTAGTAGTGTGCGTGACTTTTGACAAGCAAACGAAAGGCGACGTTTAAAAATTGGCACGCTAGATGGCATCCAAGTGATCTTAAATAATTATGATAAATCAATATCTTAAGTTCAATAATTGGTTAATTTCCTTTCCAGCTGTTAAAAAAACAGTATAAAATTACATATAAACTAATGACCTTAGTCTCCTATGTTTTTTTGTAAACAATTTTATTACTTATTGTTGTGTGGCAACATAAATACCAAAAGTCGTAGGTAAAGCGACGTTGCCGTCCTTCCTGACAACAAACTGATAAGAGTACTAACGTATTCCTGACCTTGAATTGACGAAACAAAAGCGTTTCCAAACCGTGCCAAACGTCGTTCACTTGTTTGACTTGTTATAAAATATAAATTCTGATTTTGGTTGTCACGCGCTTAGATTTGCGCGCGGAATTTCTTGTGTATTATACATATTTTGTATGTATGTTTTCATTGATTCGAATTGCAATATTTCTCTAGTATGTTGTTATCTCTTGTTTATGAATTACAGTTTCTTACGTGTTGGTTACGAAATGTCTAATTATTGTAATAATTGTTACTGTTACAAATCATCAATGTTATTAGTTTTGAGTGAATAGGCATGTATCAGTATAATTATGTTGCTTCAAATAGGTACTTCTGATAAAAAATTCAATAGTGTAATGTAATAAAATAAAACTGCGTTATATTGTAATCAATTTTGACATAATTTATTTCCCAAAGTTATAAATCAATTAAATAGTTTACGCCAAAAAATATAAATTTTATTTTCAATCTACACATACACAAAAATTAAAAACTTGTTTTTTTACATACACGCCATCTAGTGTTCTAGCTTCGTAAACGTAGGTATACGTTTGTGTGTGTAAACGACACTATATTCAATGACACATGTTATAATCAAAATTAATGTCGAATTGGGTGGATTTTGAGGCAATGATATGACCCATTCCAATAAAATTTAATATCCGATAACCGCCAAGTCTACTCCTACGACTTAATAATTTTCAAATTACACAAAAATCTAAATAAACTAAAAATGTTGACTTCAGCGCCATCTTGCGGGAGAATGGCTGGGAACAGTCCGTAGGTTTCACCTTAACTTAGGGTTTTTGTTACATGTTGTATATGTAAAAATATTTTCCGATATTTCTCATCTATCGATGGCGGTGTACTATCGGTATATATCGTTTAAATGAAAGAAAGTAAGAAATAAAATACCCAAATGAACCGAAAAAAGACGAAATAATTAAAATTTATTATTTCGAGCCCTTTTTTTAGTATTTTTTTGAAAATACGAAAATTTTAATTAAACTAATTGCACTCATGATTTTTTATTCAAATAACCAGTTCAGTTTTTTCTATGTAATTTTTATCTAAATATAATTTCCAAAACACACGATTTAAAAAAAAAAAAAAAAAAAACGAGCGAAGCTCGGTCATCCAGGTACTGTATAGTTATAGGCATACACAGATCGTCGAATATGCACATCGTACTAGTGCTGTAAACCGAGGCAGTAATGGGTGGTCAGTGCTCAATGTAGGTCATGCGGCGCAGATCGTCGAATTGCACATAGTACTGGTGCCGTAGACCTAGTCAAAAGTGGGTAATCAGTACTTACTGCAGGTGATGCAGGCGTAGATCGTCGAGCTGTGCGTAGGGCTCCCAGTGCTGCAAACCTACAGACAACGCTAAATGTAGCGTGCAGTCGGCAAACGAAGCTGCTAGTCTCCCGCCGCATGACACGCCCATCGCGCGCATACGGTACTCCTCGTACCCGATCTAGTACGTAAAAATTATTGCTATAGTTCGCGAAACACACGTGGTAGACCAGTGCTGCAGCTATATTCCATCATTAACTTCAGGCGTGACAACGCATCTGCACTATGATTCTATCTCTATGGGCCACAGCAATTAATTTACCATCACATGGACCACAGTCTCCTGTCACCCTTATTTTAAATAAAAAAAGGAACGTCGACTTGGGAATCTCTAAGTGGAGATATGTTGATATTGTAGCAATCTAATTGTCTGTAATCTGAATTGATTTTTTTCATGACGTACGTCAAAGGACGAAAATCGACAACAAAAACAAAACAAAAGTAACAATTACGTTAACGATTTATGAAAACAAAATAAAATACAGCAACAATAGCAATAACTCCAAAAGCATTGCAAGCAACCGATAACAGATGATGAAAAGTAGCGATCCAAATGTTACCAACACTACTACTAATGATCTCTTTCCAGTAAAATCATAATATTAATAAATTACATCTATTATTTATAGTTTCCGAGAGACGGTCGATGACAGATAACATTTTTTAAATTTAAATATTAGCACAAGGATTCTTTATTTCGTATAGTGAGTGAGAAACGAGAAAACATTTTTAACGGTAGCAAGGCATTCAGTTTAGTCTTCAGGGGTGACAACACATCTGCTTATTTATTTTTAGCCGTGGATAGGTGCCTATGGGCCGCAGAATTCACCATTAGGTGAGTTATGTACTTCTTGCCTCTTATAAAATATTTTACAATATAATTTGTCTTTTTTTAAACTGAAGTCAAACATACATCGTCCACCTGATAGTAAGTGGCAACTGAAGCGCATGGACACATTCAATCAACTTAAATAAGACTACAGGTGCATTTTCACCGGAATAAGATGGAATCTCACACAGCCTGTGATTACACTTTTCTCTATACCCTTCTAATCGGAACAATTTTTTTATAGAATAGGTTGACAAACGAGCACACAGTCCACCTGATGGTAAGTGGTTGCTGTGGTCCATAGACATCTACATCTATCCTCGATTACGAATCGGAATACAGATATGTTGTCACCCATGAGGACTAACATGGAATGCCTCGTTTCCAGTAAAAAGGGTCTCCAGTTCTCTACACTCACCATACGAAACACAGCAGCATTAAGCTACTACTTTACGGTGGTATTCTGTGAGAGTGTGATCCTTCCCTGGTCGAGCCTACCCCTTCTAGCTACAATTATACAACTAATGACAATAAATGACTGCCTCGTTGGTCTAGTGGTTGTAGTAGTGCGACTGCTGATCATGAGGTCCTGGGTTCGAATCCCGGGTCGGGCCAAAAAAATTAATTATTGAGTTTTCCGTCAAGAAATTCTCAGTAGCTGCCCGGAGTCAGGAAGTTGGCGGTGTCTCACCCCCGTGCCTCGGAAAGCACGTAAAGCCGTTGGTCCTGCGCCTGATCTCTCTCCGGTCGTGTCGGTTTACCGTCCCATCGATTATGAGAGTGAGGGAATAGAGAGTGCACCTGTGGTTGCGCATACACTTGGGCACTATAATCCTGTCCTGCGCCGATGGCTAGTCTCCGTTGAGGCAGGCCGCCGTGACCGAAATTTCGTCTTGGGGACATTATACTACTAAAATAACTGCTGCGTGGTTCTACCACGTATAAAAGTAGTGCACGCACTGCTATTTGGCGCCAGAAATAGTTAACAGGGTTGTATCTACCAAATAGATTACCAGGCAGTAAGGGTGTATTGTGGTAGGGCACTTAGTACGTTTATTTCTTTTAGAATTTTATAGTTGTATAACTTATACAATGCCTTAAAACTATAATATAAACATATTGCATGTGTCACCTGGTCTCAGAAATACAACTGACCGCTTACAAGTAGACAAGGATATTTTTGTAATATAAACTTCTTGAACATATTGCCATGAAAAATTACCTGTAAGTTTTTAATCTTGAGTGTGACACGAAAACTTGTTTTCATTGGGTCCGGCTTGGTTACGCTGACATCGTTTATCCTGTTTATCGTTGCCAAGTTCTTCAACCAACCAGTTCCCGTTTCGAATCTACCCACAAACGATATTGAACCAATCTGAAAGTTAAAATTTCAAATAAAAATGGTGTTGCAACTCAAATTATGACTGTCTCTTTCGCACGTATGGTCAGATTACTTGCTGAGTTATGGGCACGAATTCGAGCCGTAAGAAATTTTAATGTAACGCATTTTTTTAAGTAGGAATCGGTTATGGGAGTGTGTGTAGTGGCGGTGTAAGAATATTAAGTACCTACCACATGTTTGGTTTCTGATGATGTTATTGCTGTTAGCCTTTTGGCTTTTACAGCGTCATCGGTCTCAGGGCCCGAGACCTGAAAGGTCGGGGGCTGTAAGAGGATGAATTTAAATCATTCCGCATCTTTACTTGCGTAACGATGACTCCTACGACAGTGTAAAGTGCACGTGGGTGAGTTATATAACAGCTATCCGAGCAGGGGGCGGTGGTCCCCGGCTCCGACGGCTAATCTATATCGTTCGATGTGGTCGGTCAGAACCGCCCAGAGACGTACGGTCTGCGGTCTGCGGACTCGCTGCGTCCCAACCATTGTCCTAACAGTGTTTGTGCCACTAGGTGAAGGTGTAGCGTCTTTGTGTGACGTGCCGGCGACATTTCTATCGTCGTAATCTAGCGGAAGTGACGGTTCAAATAGAACGTTACGGTGCCTCTGGAAACTTTTTGTAACATTTGGAGTCGGAGAGTAGGTGGCTGCGTTTACCACTAGCGGATTGAGATGTGTCTCGGCCCTCTCAATGTAGCGCTCAGACATTTCAGAATGTCAGAAGTTTACAATCTTCGCTGGTACCACAGGGTTCCGGTGGCTATGCGAATGAATCTATTGTGGACGACATGGAGATCGTACAAATGACTATGAGCTGCGTGCGCGAAGGCTACGCTTTCGTAGGACATGATAAGTATTACGCAAGCTTTATAAAGATGGAACTTGTGTCTTTTAAGTATATTAACAATGCTATAAACATTACTAATATTCTCCTTAACCACTCGTGGTAAGCTTAAATTGCTTGTGTTACGGGTGGTTCACGCCAGTAGTCGAATGGCGGATTCGAACCCACGACCTTTTTGAGTTCGCGGTCCGCGCCCTGCCATTAGGCTACTGCCACTTCTGTGTCTTAGACACAGTTTACTCTTGCTGTTAACTAGAGGTGATGGTGACTAGTGACGAATTTAGCACGATATCAGCAGAGGAAAACTGAAAAGATGGGCAGCATCTTTCTGATAAAAACTCAACAACTTGTCAAGTGTGGCAACTATGGCAAAATTCATGAGGCAATTTATGGGAGTTTTATAGTCTGTAATGGATAATGATGAATGTATGTTGGATATGTATTGTTTTCCTCTTTTTCTTGCTCTTTCTTGGCACGTAAAAGCTAACACCTGAACCTGGGTCACTACGTCATCTCGTCACGCTTGGTAGGCACATTGACGATTATAGTACGACTATGCTGTCAGTTGTCAGAGTATACTGCCATCTATCGCACGTATTTTTTCATTTATTTAGTTAAACTTCGTTACACAAAAATGTACAAAGACGTAAGCAGACAACACTACTTTGGAGGGGCAATAAGGTTTTTAAGACAAAGAATTAAGGATCAACTATATATATATGAAAATTAGTAAGAAATTTTATTTATTAGTAAAATTAGTAGAAAATCAATAAGTAATAGAACTATATACAACATAATTTAAGTTTCCATATAAAACAAATTAACAAATAAATACTGGAATGGAAGGTTCCAAAGCCCCACCGGTTGACCTTGCAGAGATAGAATAAAATAATTTTTTATTCAATATAGATTACATGTTGAGATTGTTATTGAAAGTCATTTTTACTTTACCACTGGTTCGAAAAAAACTTCTGTCCTGGGAAGATATTGCATATTTTCTGGGACTTTGTTGTAATAGTGTATACATTGCCACAAGAATGAATGTTGTGAAGTCCAGAAACTGGTAACACTAGCTTGTGTAATAGATCATTCTGGCACCTCCTATAGTCGCCTCTTACGACACCCACGGGGCTAAAAGATGAAAGAGATTCTTTTACGCATTCACCACTCAGCAATGGATTTTTATATGAACAAATATTTGGACCGGGTGAAATTCGAACCATAAACCCACGGTATAACCACCACTAGGCCATGTGGTCGACTTGACAATACCTTATGCATGAAAGTGGCATGGACTGAAGGCAGCTCCAACACTTCACGACAAGTTTGCAATAGTGTCCGGCGCATGTTTATTAATATCATGTCGATGACCCTGTTTCCGTTCTGCGCCATGTTGTTCACCATTGAGCTGCAAGTCGAAATTATCTCAAATTGAATTTTTACGCCTGAATAACCGTTGGTTTACAATAATAGAGAATGTTCCGATAACGCGGTAACGCTTAACTTGAAATACATGGTTTTCTAACGAGATAACACTATTTTAAATTAATATTTTATGTTTAACCACGGAATCAATTATAGTGCCTGCTGCGTAGTCAACGTCACACTAGTATACATTTTAGGTAATTAGCAAGAAATTAGTGGAATAATTTTCCGGTTTATTTCTTTCCATGCAATTACAATCTGGAAGACAAGAGGCTTTTATTTACGCTAAGACAGTGTGATTTACCATCCTGGACTTCATCACCGCTTACCACCAAGTAGATTTTTGAACACATGCATTTTTACTTATTACAAGCATGTGTTCATGTTGATTTCATGAACACATGCTTGTAATAAGTAAAAATAGGTAGTTTGCGACAAAATTAAAAAAGTAACAGACTACGAGTATATACGTCCTACAGCTGGGCAAAAGTCTGAAAAAGTTTCTGAGAGAGTTATGGAACAATCTATAACGCGATGCCAGTATATCGAAGGTTTATTGTTAAAACCAGTTATCTGAATTTTTTTTTTTGTGAAAATGAGTTATATATACCCTTCGTCTCGGACTTAATTTTCTGGTTAAGAAAGATTTGATATGACCACTATATAGGGAGATATTTCATGGTAATACCGTGTATCAGCATGGTAAGCTGAAAAAAATGTTCACGTATAACAGTTTTAAACCTTTATTGGTTCAAAGGATTTTATTTCTTACTATGAAATCATGTGACAATTGACAACTTATGTAACTGTAAATATAAGTTCCAAAATGTTTATTTGATGAAACAGTTATGGTCTTTTAATTGATTTTACTAGAAATCGATCACAAAAACTTATTTTGCCATTCTTTAGCAGGAAAAACATAATGAGTGCTCCTAATCATTAAGCTTATTTGTTTCTTTCGATAAGTGTTTATAACTGCTTTTAAATGAGACCTATTGCATAAATAATATCTAATAAAGATTTGTAATTATTACGCCTATAAGAATATAAATACCAAAATTAAATAATAATAATAAAAGAAGAACATACGTTACAGGAATACTTAGAGTAGTTGTCTAAATTGATGAGATAGAGCAAATAGCAGATATTGAGATATTGTAGTTTGCTTAAAATTACTTAATATAGAAGGAGGAACTATTTATCATGAACTCTTCCTTCCAAAAGCCGTGGTAGCTCAGATGGTTAGCGCTCGCTGTAAATTTCACAGTACGCGAGCAAACCGGGTTCGATCCCTGCCGGCACCAATAAAATTAATTGCAATTTTAAGTGCTGATACCAAGTGCTCGACGGTGAAGAAAAACATCGTGAGGAAACCGGCATGTCTGAGAAATAAGAAAAAAATATATTTCGATGACATGTGAAGTTCGTCAACACGCATTGTGGCAGCGCGGCGGACACTTCCTTGCCCTAAAACCCTCTCAGAAATGAAGGGAGGTCTTTTCCCAGCAGTGGGACGTATGTAGGCTGTAACTAACTTTAACTTCCTTCCAGGAGCATAACCACAGAAAGTAGACCTGGTCTAGTCCCGACTCTTCGACGAAAAATGAGATTGACTTCATAATGACGACCAGACTCCAACAGTTCTCCAATATCGGTTATTGATCTCGAGAGAGAAAACTGGTTAAGAACTGTTGGTGAGCGGCACCTCACAGTTTAAGTGACATTGAGCCAAGGAAGTCGTAATTGTGTATAACAATTAAAGAACTATCTTTGAATATGGGAATCAATTTAGATGGTCAGATAAAACCAGTTAACTGCTTGACCTTTAGCAATTTTATTTTCTACAAAGTTTATTATCGTAACACCTTTTTTCTCTTAAATAATTCTTCCTTAATAATCAATTTGTCATTTAACGTTGTTATCAATGTTGCAGGATGTGACTGTATTGGGTTTTGAATCATCATGTATTCGAAATATTTGATATGGTGTACCTAAATGACCTTCAGAGCCGAACAAACATGGTTAATCAGTACCTTAAATTTCAATTAAACAATTTTATTGGTGTTCAAGCTTAGTTTGATCGCTTTAGTTGGCGATTGAATGATGGCGGAAAATTCATTCGTAAATATAAAATCATCATCAGTGTTGTTTGCTTAGCGTAGCCAAGTATAGCAAATGTGAAAAGGGATAGATGGCCATTTAATCATCTCACTTACACTAGACGTTAAATACCTATACCGGCGACAGGTTATATGTGGTACAGCCACTTTGCAGCTATATTATGGTTGTAGCCCGAACAGTTCGGCTAGACCGGGTAGGACCACGCTCTTTCAGAATACCATCGTAAAATAACAGCTTAATACTGCTGTGTCTGTAGAGACCCGGAGATCTTTTTTTATTGGAAACGAGGCATTCTATCTTAGTCCTCGGGGGTGACAACGCATCTGCATTTTGATTCTTAATCGAGGATAAATGTAGATGTCGATTGGCCACAGCATCCACTTACCATCAGGTGGACTGCGTGCTCGTTTGTCACCCTTATTCTATAAAAAAAAGGTAGTACCGTAAAGGTAGTAACGTCAAAAGGTTCGAAACATATTACTGTAATCATTATCCCATCTGCCATTAAGGATTGAAGTCAAAAGGTTCGAAACATATTACTGTAATCATTATCCCATCTGCCATTTAATGGCCGATGATGAAGGTAGCACCGTAAAATCTCCAGCGCAGTTGGTAGTTTTCGGAATATTCGGAAATTATCGCCGTAAACAAAATCGGCCAGAACAACAGTACATAAGCAAAAATGGATGTCAATATAATTTTAATAGTACCTGTATACTTCAAGTAAACTAGGGTTGGAATACACCATGTCGGAAACACTAGTCGCTTGACGTAGCACCTGAGAGAGGTGCCTTTGCAGTTTATGTCGTAACAGCGCATACAGAGGTAGCGATAGAGCTGCAGTTAGGGGAAGATCATCTGTAAAAGTTTATTTCATTAAAAGAAAAAATCTGCGGACACCAGCATCCTGCCCAATTTACTTGCGTATTAGACACTATAGTAAACTTGTATATTTTTTTCCTTTTAATATTAACATCTTGTGTTTGATTATTGTACACTGTAAAAGCAAAAATCCATGCAATACATTTTTATATTTGCTGCGAAAAACTACCGCACCAAATTGTTTAACTTTCTATGTTATCGATATTGTTTATCATATTTTCATAGAATGTGCCCAGAACTCCATAGAAAGAAACAATTGTAATTTACATTTTGTCCTTGATTTTTCATGTAGTTTCTAGTTGTAATAGAATTTTATCAGACTCGTTATCAGATGATGTCAAAACTTTATTCTGTTAGTTAATAAGAGATAAGTAGTTAAGTAAATTAATAAGTTAATAATTAGTTGGTTTAACATTTTTTGTTGTGACTACCAGGGCATCATAATTACATCAGTGCATCAGTACATCATTTACAAAGCACTTTGTTTATGAATAAAAAAAAACTTGCTTTTATAGCCGATTTACACTTCGACAAGTACACTAGGGAAGGGCAGTTGAAGTAAACGGTTATGTGGACAGTAGTGTTCAAATGATTTAGTGGCAAGTTCAATTAAAAAAGTTACAATTTTTTATTTTGAGGGTAGAACGCGAACACATGGCGTCCTGTCAACTTATTCACTGGACTAAACTCGCCGAAAAATAGACCGAACGGCTATCCCGTTCAACTTCTTGTTAACGTGTAACTTTTTTAATTTTTTTTAATAATATAGCGTAACAAAAGAGCACACATTCCACCTGATGGTAAGTGGTTGCTGTGGTCCATAGACATCTACATCTAATCTCGATTACACATCAAAATGCAGATGCGTGGTCACCCCTGAGGACTAAGATGAAATGCCTCGTTTCCAGTAAAATGGGTATCCGGTTCTCTAAACTCACCATACGAAACACAGCGGGGTTAAGCTACTATTTCACGCTGGTATTCTGTGAGAGCGTGGTCCTTCCCCGGTCGAGCCGACCCATTCGTGCTACAACTATACTACTTATATAGTTATAGCATGGCTCTACCACATAAAAAAACTTAACTCACTAATTGTTGTTCAAACGAGATTTTCTACTTAACTCGCCAGGTTCGCAAGTTAACTCGCTACTATACTTGCCGAAGTGTAAATCGGCAATAAGTCAACAGTTACAAAATATCATCGTAGTGAAAAACATAACGCAGTTGCAGATTGATTGCTACACACTCATGTTCGCCGTGTAGTGCTGGCGTAAGAGAATCCATTATCTACCTCATCTCGTGGGTGTCGTAGAAGACGACAAAGGAAAAGAAGCAGAAGATGACCACGGAGAGAAACGAATTAGCAGCATCTTCTTCTCATCAACTCAAAATACAAAAAGAAACTGGCTGCCAACCCGCCTGAAGACCATAACAACTATAGCAAATCAGAGGGGTATTCCCTATAGTTGCCATGCTATGAGGGGAGTCCTTTTTTTATTTGATATTTTATTATATGCGAGCAGCTATGCAGGTCTAGGGAAAGAGACCAGTATCACTGCGACTTATAAGATCTATTATGATCGCTGCTATGGCTATAGTTCACGGCTAAGCCCTACGTCTTCAATGAATAGAAGGAGTTGCTTAGCCGTGAGTAATTTCACTTCTTCTGGGCGGAGTACATAGTTTCCCAGATGAGTGTTACGTTTGCACATTAAGGGTCCGCAATCAGTTAGGATGTGCAGAGGCGTTTCTTGCATTATGTAACAGAACCGACACATCCTTGAGTTGCTTAGTCCCAGGATGGACATGTGCTTTTTAAGACAACAGTGTCCAGTTAGGGCTTCCCTTGTTTAGCAATGGATTTTTAATAGGCTGTAATGAATAATAATAAATAAAATAAACTCATGAATTACACTTTGTGGGTAGTAATAGTTTCTAATTGTATTAGGAAGTTGTTTACACCATGAGGGCACTCACTTTTTCTGCCAACGGCGGCGCCATTTAGAAATGATGTGTAATGTTTGACAGATTTTAAAGCTTACGTTACATGAAATGTTACAGTAAATGAATATGGAGTGTAGAAGTAAGGAGTACAGTTTGTGTATTAAAAAGTGTCCATAGAAAACCGTTAAATAAGTGTGGCGCCACTGTAACTACGGGGTAAATTTTAAAGAACGTACTGAAAAATATTAGTGGGATAGACGACTTTTTCGAGGTTATATTTACTAAATAAAATTATTTTAGATTTTAGAGCTACTGATCAGTTTAGCAGCACACTTAAACCGTCGACAACTGCTAAGTTCATTTCATCCCAGTAGCTACTCCAGCGGTGTTGTGGAGAGTTTTTGAACTGTTATTTACTGCTTACAGATGGCCACTTTTTTAACTATTCTACTATGGGAGTTGGTACTCCTTACTTCTACACTCCATAGCAGGGAAGTTAATATGTTCAAAAAATGTAAAGGTCAATGTGTTCTTTCTATATTGTTAAATATATTTTATATGAATTAGATTAAACCAAACCACAGGTATTCATTAAAGTAGAAAATTAAAAAAAAAAAAACAGTTAAAATGTGCACAAATAAAAAAGCAAACGACTGGGGCATTGGTTTGTGTATTTATATTATAATACTCTAGAAACTGATAAACTTTTATTTAAAACTAACTTCTTAATTAAAATGACAGTATGTGACATTAAACTTCACCTCAGCGACAAGTGACATCCGGTGAGCGGAAGATTATTAGCCCTAATTGAAACGAGCCAGCAGTACAGGATTATTATACTGCTATAATTAAAAAGTTAATTAACCAGCCAGTGCTTGACCAATATTAGCCTTTCTAATATTAATTATAAATAAAATATTGATGAATAATCATGAACTTTAAATATGAAATTATTTAGTAAAATTTGTTGGTGAGTATAGCATAGCCATAAGGAGCTTAGGCCCTCAACTTCACTTACCTATATGTTTTGCCAACTGCTCTGTTGTAGTGAACTCATATCCACCATTTCTTTGAGGTGATGGCCATGAGAGCTAAAGAGATTATTAATGAATGGAAAATAATTTTTATTTTGACAATGTGTTAATAAGTGTGCATTTATTGTCTATAGTATGTTTGTTTTTGATTGCATTCCTAGTAATAATACATCTAATTCTGCCTACAATCTTTAAAAAATTATTAACATAAAACCTATTAGTTTTAGACTAAAATAAAAAGAAATGGTTTAGATATAGCTTTTTATCAATAGACAATAAAATAATAGAATAAGAAAATAATAGAAAAAAGTAGAGAATGTGACAGTGTCCCAGTTTTACATTACTGAACGAAATCCAAAATTGCAGATTTGTGTCCGTGTACATTTATATGGGGCAGAGCCACACTGTAGCTATATTATGGTTGTAGCATGAATAGGTCAGCTCGACCGGGAAAGGACCATGTTCTTACAGAATACCAGTGTAAAATAGCAGTGTAATACTGCTGTGTTTCGTATGGTGAATGTAGAGATCTGGAGACCCTTTTTTACTGGAAAGGAGGCACTCCATCGTAGTACTCAGGGGTGACAATGCATCTGCATTTTGATTCTTAATCGTGGATAAATGTAGATGTCTATGGGCCACAGCATCCGTTTACCATCAGATGGACTGTGTGCTTGTTTGTGACTCTTATTCTATAAAAAAACCTAAAGTTGTAGATTTTGTGTTTAACCATGCAGTGGTGGTGTAAGAAATAAGAATATCTACAATCTCATATGGTTCTGTGGGTGTCGTAAGAGGCAGCAGAGGAAAAAATTAAATGGTAGATGGGCAGTAGCATCATTTTGACAACAACTCAAAATTATAATAAAAACTATGATTGCCAACTCATCTGCCAAGTGTGACAACTATGGCAAAATTTCCCCCATCACAGCAAAAATACAAAATTGATACAAAACTACACTACATGTAGACCCACGAGGCAGTTATATTAGTAGTATAGTTGTAGCACGAATGGGTCTGCTCGACCGGGGAAGGACCACACTCTCACAGAATACCAGCGTAAAATAGCAGCTTAATGCTGCTGTGTTTTGTATGGTGAATGTAGAGAACCAGAGACCTTTTTTACTGGAAATGAGGCATTCCATCCTAGTCCTCAGGGGTGACATCGCATCTGCATTTTGATTCATAATCGAGGATAGATGTCTATGGGCCACAGTCACCATATATCATGAGGTGGTTTGTGAGCTTGTTTGGTCATCCTATCCTATAAAAAAATCCTATTTTCAGCATTGTCTTTTATAGACTGTAAAGGATCGATTGATCAATGAGATTTGTGTGCATTATACTGTCGAGAACCATGTCGAGCACAAGTGATATTACAGCTATACAAGTAACTTAATAACTTTAATGCTTGTATAATAGTATTAAGAGCATTACACATTTTATTTAAGAAAATATAAAGCAATGAATTAAATATTACCTTTACTACCACTTCATCATGTACAAAATCTATTCCGGGATTAATAAAAGAGAATGAATCATCATCTATTATTAAGCCAACATTCACATCTGCTGTCATGTTTGATAAAGATATTCTGAAAATTGGTTTTATTTAAAAAAGAAACAATTCTTTTATTAATGGATAAATTTTATCTTAGCAAGATTTTCATGTAACGTAAGTACAAAATTTAAGTGTTATTTAACTTCCTAAAGGAATGAATTCATTATTTATTTATTTTAGTATACTTCTTAAGGTAATATTGTGAAAATGTAAGTAAATATTTAATTTTCATATATTAATAAATACCATATCCTTCTGTGTACAGACCTAAGTAACAATAATTATTCATTGAATTAAATTACTAAAAAAAAATGTAAAAATAAATACGCAATTGAAACAGAAATTTTACTTACAAAACATGACCTTCAGATAATACAGGTATTAAATTGTAAAGGTTTTCATTAAATGCACTGTATAGGCCTTTTACATTGACTTCTCCTAGTGAACATCTTAAGCTCAGTGCCATTGACTTCAGATCAAGTGACAAGCTCTGCAGGTGGAATGTAGGTGGTTTTATCAACTCCAGCCTTGACAGGTTTCTAATAATCATAACATGTTACTTTAATTAAAATATAATATTGACAGAAATATTGTAATTTCTGCTGTTATGAGGGCGGATTAAAAAGTTTGCAGAATTTAAGAGTTAGAGAGGCGAGGGAGGATTTTTTTGCAACAGTCATTACTTGGTGATGCAATACAACTATAAATACTGAGCTTCAGCCAGATCAGTTCTTTAACCTTGGAGATATCACAGTTTAAACAAGTCGATTGGGAAGTGAACACTAACTATGGAGAAAATTGAGTTTTATGCCGTGATTTAGTTCCTCACCAAGCAAGGAAAAACCTCGCATATCATTATGGAAGAGAGGTCAGCCGTTTACAAGCACTCTTGCCTTGGAAAAGCGAAGATTTATAATCAGCATAACCATAAGCAGATACTTGATTGGAGACAATCAGCATTCAGGCCGACTGACTGAGGCTTCTTTCTCAGACATTGTTCAAAAAGTTGAAAAACTTTTTTTGAAAATACTCAGAAGAAAAAACAGATTGCAAAAACGACTGGAGTATCATCTATGACCATTTTAAACATTCTCAATGACCATCTTGGCATGTCTAAGGTCAGTGCAAGATGGGTATCAAGAATGCTCACACCGCTTCATAAACAGCAGCAATTCATGTGAGTTTTTGGATCTAAGTAGCGAAAACAAAGATAAAATGAATGAACCGAATTATGAAAGGGGGTAAAACTTGGGTTCATCACTATGAACCAGAGTTAAACAGGAGTCCATGCAGTGGCATAAAAAGGCATAGCACCGCATAGGAAATTCAAGGTGTCACAAACGGCTGGAATGATTATGGCTTCAGTTTTTTGGGATTTTGAGGGAAATTTATTGATCAATTATAAAGATAAAGTTGTCAATATCATGATAAAGTATTACTCAACACCAATAGAAAAAAAAGATATGATTTAAAAAAAAAGAAGCAGAAAGTGGTTTCAAGGTATGCCCCTTTGCACGACAATACACCCATTTACAAGTCATGTTGCAAAGCCATCGCCTTACACAATACTTTAAACCACCCTCTCTATAGTACAGATTCGGCCTTTTTCCCCGAAGCTCTTGTTTTATATTTGTTCACTAATATGAAAAGGAGCTCCGGAGAAGGAAATTCACAGATGGTGAAGAAGTGAAGTCTGCAATTTCAGTCTAGTTTGAGGGCCTTGATAAAATATTTTTTTAAAGATATAAATAAGTCATTTCCATGGTCAGAAAAGTATATTATGATTAATAGAGTATAATTATATCAAAAAGGAAAAAATATTTTGTTTAATTTAACCCCTTTACCCTTTCATTCCACAAAATTTTGAACTTCCCCTCGTAAATTTAACATTTTTAGAAGGAATAATCTGAGAGGAATCTTTATGGACAAATTATCATTAATTGATTCATAATGTCATATTAATAAGTATTGTATAATTTCAACTTACACCTGAGTGTTTTTAGCAAAATATGAAGTATCCTCAAGAATATCAGGCTTTATTTGTTCACCATTTTTAGTCTGCTGGAAGACGACATTTGTGAAACTCTGGAACATTGTACGGATTTACAAATGAGGTACGTATGTGATTCAATTTTTAAAATTGAATCACTTGATGAATGAGTATCAGTCATATATTAAGATCAAATTTTTTGCATTTTGATTTAAGCACAACTTAATTACAATGTTTACAAATCAATATTCATACATTAATAAATATTTACCCTTTTGATTACATCTTGTAAATTTGGTTGAACATTTGTTAATAAGTTTAGCAATTCCTGTTCAATATCCACATTTTCTTCCTCAGACATATTGTCACAAACATTACCCACCAATATTATATTGATACAAAAACTTAACTAAAATTTAATAGATATTTAGAATCCGAAACATATGTTCTCTAACCTTCATGCATATTGTCACTTTACGTACAATCATAGATAAATAAATATCATATTTCAGTTTATACAAAGGTACTCTGTGATAAATATGTCTCAGTCTACGGTAAGGTATGTTCCGTAATACAACCCAGTACACTGGCAAATGCAAATGACGTCATGAATCGACTCTATACTGGTGATTCGTTCCAAAACATAGGACAGTATATGACGTCATACATTTACGCCATATTGGAAAAGTGTTTGCGATTATTATGTCATTTTGTGCTCCAAAAATCATTATATCTTCCTAATGGAGATACCAGCAATTATTCTATAATTTTTTGTATTTGAATAAATAAAAACAAATTCTGGCATGCTTCATTCAGCGCATACACAATTAAAATTTTTTTTATTGTGGCCGGATATCCGACGCAATATGGCGGCGGCACGCCAGTACAATGTAGTGTCAATTGATGACGTCATTTGCAGTTTGCCAGTGTACTGGATTGTATTTCGGTAGAAAGCTACGTACAATGACAGCAAAGCAAAGTGGACACTGGTACCATAGAATAGTGTGGTACTCTAGACAAATAAATATGACAAATAAATATAAACAAGAATTCTCTGTCTACGGTCTGGACATCAAAGACAGATGACATTGATTTAATCTGTCAAGCGGCAGAAAAACCTTCGAGCATAGAAAATAGAGGAGATGGCAAGCCTTTTTATTAATTCTTCAACGTGATATTGGCATAGTCTCCTAAGTACCTGTTTAAATCGCATTGATTTAGTTTTAGGAATCACGTATTGAACGTATGTTGTTCTAGTAACTGCATCATTACTCCCTTCAAATTTCCTAGTCAAAAACCATCCAGTCGAAATGAAAATCGACCCACCCCTAGGACTTAGACGGCATGCCTCCAGTAAAAAGGATCTCTGTTATCTACACTAACCATACGTAACACAGTAGCATTATTCTGCTGTATCGTGAGTGTATTCTGTGAGAGCGTGTACTTACCACTGCCGAACCGACCCATTCGTGTTGTAGCTAGGTATATTAAAGCAGTAAAAGGTGTTTCAACCTCAGCCATAATACGCCAACCTCGAAAATTGTTTCTCAAATTATTGCATTTAATTAATAATTTCCGTGGTGCAGTGGAATTCTAGTCACTCACATACATTGAAACTTAAGGTGTGTCCCCATGATCCCCATGAACCCCATGATCTTTGTTGAAAATATTTTGATAATTTATTAATTAAAGACAAAGTGGAGTAGAAACTCAAAATTATAAGAATGTGCGGATGCCAAACCACCTGCCAACCGTGGTATCTACGGCAAAATGCCCTATGAGGCAATCTATAGCGGAGACCTAGGTACTGCAATGAACTTTTAGAATGTAATGGTTGGATGGATGGAGTAGGAAAATAAACAATTTTACGTTTTTCTTTTAGAATGTGATGGATGGATGTATGGAGTAGGAAAATAAATCATATTTTTGTTAGCAATAAAAAGTTGTTATGATATTACGGTTACTTCCAGACTGCATAGCCCATTCAATACAGTAACACATTTTGCTCTCTCTAGCCAGAAAGGATCTCCTAGGTGTGCGTTGTTTGTGGTTAGCAGTGGCTACATACAACCACTGGTACGACATACTCCGCTGATCGTCGAGTCCGCTGATTCCGTGAGGCGTCGAGGTCACCGGCCCCTAGGCAGATTCTTAGGCGCTCTAAAACGTTTCGAGTTTTAACAGTGCCTAGTCGCGTTTTTGAGTGCCACCATTTGCACTTCCCCAAACCCTTTCAATAGGAAAGGGGTAGGCAGTGTCCCAAGTGCCTATACCAACATCGTATATCACCCGTACCATCGCGTCGCGCATCTCAGCCTGTCGTCGTTGGTAACTCAACACACATAGGGCCACAAGAGTACGTTCGAATACTACATATTAGGTAGGTTATAGCGACATGTCGGACAAGTGGGAACCGCCCCCTCCGCGTTCTAGAAAACCACCGGACCGGAAAGGAGTACTGGATCGACCACTATTAGTTAGGGATCTTGCGAACCCGGAACGCTAAAGACTAGTGTCGTCCTTCTCACAGATCCCTACGAAGAAGCCCGTCTCGCCGCGAAAGTAGCCCGCACCGGGCTTCGCGCTCATGCCAGCCGTGTCTGAGCACACGGTTAGGCAGGAACCGTCGCCCCAGCAGCAGCAGGCGAAGAAAACGGCCAGACGCCATACGCCACCCGAGACCGAGGCCTCTTTATTTGAAAAGAGGCAACGAATCGGCTCCAATTTGTCATCTTTCGATGTTCCAACACCTTGAAGATCACCACCAAGCGGACACGAAGAGGGTGCACAAGTCACCGTCGAAGTCGCCCTCACCACCACAACCTCCCCGCTCTACGTCACTGGACCGGCGTAGCCACGACTTGGCCCAGTACGAGCAGGGGGGGTAAAGATGCTTACAGCTGGGGGTCCACCACGTATGCGACCCTTGCAGCATCCGCCGGCCGATCATCGCCAGTGCAGACAACCAATCTGTCCGGGCGATGGTCAACGGCCATCTACCAGTTATGCCTATATGGTAGCAGCATCAGCAGTGCCACGACCGCAAGGGGCGGCAGAGCCTGCTGACAAGCCTGCCGACCAGGATAAGGCCAGATACCCGCCCATAGTGGCTGAATGCCTCCCGGATTGGACGAGGCATTTTAAGGAGCTCAACAGAAAGTTGGGCCACCCTCCAAATGCCCGTCTGTTCAGGAGAGGAGTACGTTTCACATTGCAGAGCGCCGAAGAGTTCCGAACCATCCAGAGGTACATGGTCGAACTCTCGAAGGAGACACCATCATTGTCGTGGTACTGCTATACCCCGGAGGAGGACAAGCCCACTAAAGTGGGCATCCGGGGTCTACCAATGGGCACGGATACCAAATCAATAGAGGAGGCTATAAGGGCAAAAGGCTTCCCAATTAAATATGCAATTCCACCACGTAGCGGCAGACCTGGCTGCCTCTACTTTGCCCAACTAGATCACCTGAGCCTGGAGCAGCTCAAGGAACTCTACAAAATCGAAGAACTCCTCTATATGAGAGGGGTCGTCATCGAGGCCTGGCAGAGGAAAGCAGGACCAGCACAATGCCACCGCTGCCAGGCTTTCGGGCATGCCTCAGCCAACTGTTTCAGGCTAGTGAAGTGTGTGCGCTGTGCCGGGGAGCACATAGCAAGCCTTTGCCCTCGGGGTAGGGAGGAGGAACCCAAGTCTGCCAATTGTAGCAAAAACCACACGGCAAACGATCGCCGCTGCCCAGTCCAGAGGAGGACTGCTAGGAGGCAGGGGATCACCTTGCCGGGACTATTCCTGGAGGACCCGAAAAAGATCCCCCAGAGTCTCCCAAGAGCAGTAACTATCCAAGAGGATGGGGGGGCCACCGTATCAGGGAAGGGTAGGCAATCAGCTTCCCCCTCCACCCGCAACACCTATGGAAACGGTGGAACCCGCAGAAGTAAGGGCAACCACCGGGGCGACTCTACAACCCCCCGCTAATGCCGCCACAGAGCGGCAGACCTATAGAAGGAGGAAGCGGACGAGGAGCAGAAAGAAGTCGCAGCCTCCTCAGGCTATCACCTCTACCCCGACACCAGCAGGACTGGTAGCCTCACAGGCGCAGGTTGCTCGCGAAATACCTAGGAAGAGCGTGCGTAGAGTGCCAGAAAGGGCTCTATCAGAAAATAGAGCCCGCTCTACACATAGAGCGCGCTCTACCCACAAGACCAACGCCCGAGACCAGCGCCAACGCCTTCAGAAAGGAGAATACCCACAGCCTGCTTCGAGACAGCAGACGCCATCCAACGTTTGGTTGGCATTGCCATCGAGGTCGGCAGCCAAGTCCTGGCCGATATAAGAGCCGGGACAGACCCCATCACAGCGATCATGAAGGCGCTGGCAAACCTCCTGGCCCGGCATTACAGAGGAGAGTAACCTGCACCACCTCTATTGGAACCCGGACGGAATACAGCAGAAGCTGCATGAACTCCGCACAGTCGCCCAACAACAGGACATACAAGTCATCTTGCTGGGAGAGACGAAGTTAAATCCTAACACGCATTAGAAGCTGCCAAATTACCATATATACAGGAGGGACGAGGTCACTTCTCAAGGGGTCGCCTACAGAGGGACGGTGGTTTTAGTGAGGAGGGACATCGTCCATCAGGAGCTGGATTTACCTGTATACCAAACAATGCGCTCTATCGGCATAAAAATGGAGGCGGCGGGCGAGGAACTAAGGATCTACGCAGCATACCACCCGCCACGAAACATCGACCATCATCGCCGGGGACCTAAACGCCAAACACCTGGCGTGGGGATCCAGAGTGATCACACCGCCGGGTCATGCACTATACGAAGATGAAGAAAACTACAACTACGACGTTTTAAATCCCGAGGAGCCAACACACGTTCCGACGGATCCACGGAAGCGTCCGGATGTATTGGACATCGCGCTCTCTAGGAACATCAACTACCCGATAGTGGTAGAGGTGCTGTACGACCTGAACTCACAGCACCTCCCGATTCTGATCATCCTTGGCACAAAGGCGGTGACTACGCCGCCCGGAGCATTCAAGACACGTGTCGACTGGAGGCTCTACTATCAACACCTGCAGGAGAGACCTCCAGTCCACCATCCCATAAGCACAGCGGACGATGTAGAGGCCGCTGCTACTAGAATCACCAAGAACATCCAGGAGGCCCTCCACGCGACCTCTACGATCGTCCCGATCATAGCAAGGCGAGACGATCTGCCGCGAGAGATATGCGTGCAGATCAGGTGCAAAAAAGCGTTGAGGAAGCTCTGGGCGCGTACTCGCTGCCCTAGACTGAAGACACAATTGAACACGTTGTCGGACGAACTGTCGGTTGTAATCCAGGCC